TAGTATTTTTTTAATTTACAATGAGAACCTAACACACCACAGTATAAGAAAAATTGTAAGAATGGAACTCCAACAGAAGTTTATAGAACAAAATGTATACTAATTCCCCCAATTAAAGACCCATAAAGTAGTTTCAGTGCTTTCTAACCCACCTTCTCACAGCAGGGAATTAATCCCTCGGGGGGATGCAAACAAACTTCAAAGAGAAGATTATGCCCAGACACTAGTACTGTATAGTGTAAGCTTTATACCTCAGTTTGCTCAGATACTTGGGCAGAGATCAGAGATGCAAGTCCAAAAAACAAAGACCAATTTTAAGCCACATTTATTTGCAATCCTTTAAAATGACAAAAAAGTGCATTAAATAGTAGCAGGAAAAGGCAAATATGATAAGTTTTATTAAAAACATGTAAGAAGGTTGTAGAAGTAGACAAAAGATTACCTAAAATCAAATACTAAGTGACAGCTTACTCACTGTTAACAGCAGCTAGGAAATCTTACGAATTCTCAAAGAATGTAAGTAGCATCATGAGTTCAATTTGTGCATCCAAATCTTATTTTTACAATGTTTGGAAGGTATGCCCTTCAGCATCATAGGCCTTGGGGCAATGTCTAAGCAGAAGTGACAGACCACAGGTCCCTCCCATTCCATGGATTTCATGGAATGTGCTTCAGAGCACAAAACACATGAGAGTTTACAAACGAAAGTGCACAAAACACGCCTACAGAGGTACGAACATGAAAAGATATCAATGGGGAAAAAACAGTCTTTAAAGTCTAGTGATATTTCTCATTGGCCTTTCTCACATGTGTCATCTTTTCATTGTGAGGTAATTTTTTAGGTATAATTTAGAAGTATGTGATCATTTTATAAAAATATGTTTTAAATAAAGGAGTAAGCATATCTTAGTAATTCAGTTTTAATTAGTTCCCAATTTTAAAAAATCATGAATAAGAAATCTAATTTAGAGTTTAACCTTTCTGGATATTAATCATCTAATAGAAAACTAAAGTCCTTGAGAGATTAGAAACCTAAATGCAAAACTAGAAATTTCTTAGAAGAAAGTAAAGTATTTTCATATCTGTAAGGTAGAAAATATTGATAAATTATATTATATTAAAATCACTGTTTTGATCAAAGGTACCCTAAAGAGATCAAAAGACAAACCATAGAGTGGGAGAAGATATTTGTAACATAAACAAGGAGATAATTAATGTCTATAATATGTAAATAATTTCTTATAAATCAATAAGGAAAAGGTAGAAAACTCAATTTAAAAAATGAGCAAGAGATTTGAACAGGCACTTTAAAAAGGAAAGCTGAATAAAATGCCAATAAACATACAGAAGGTGCTCAATCACATTAGCCATCAGGAAAATGCAAGTAAAAACAAGGATATACTATTACACAACCATTGGGTTGTGGGGGGGGAGCCCAATTTTACCAAAGACTGATGGAAGTTGCACAGCAATAAGGACTACCAAATGCTGAAGTAAGTACAGACAAACAAAACCAATTCTGAAAAACTTTATCATGGTCCAGTCACCAAGTATCCTATAGAAGTACATTTATGTGAACCAAGATTTATGTATAAGAAAGAGCACAACAACACTGCTTGCAATAGCCAAAAACTGTGAACACCTTGAAAGGTTTTCAACAGCAGAATGCATAAACTGTGATGCAATCCTACACTGTGCTACACTGCAGTGAAAATGACTACAGCTACACAAAACATGGAAGACCCTTAAAATATTATCTTGAGCAAAAAAGCAGCAAAACTACATGTAAAATAATTCTATTTCTATAAAATTCAGAAACAGGCACTACTAAATGTATTAAAACTACAAAGAAAAACAAAGAAATGATTGCCATAAGAGTCAGGAGTCTTACCTCTGGAGAAAGACAGAAAAGGATCTCTGGGGAGCTGGCCAAACCCATTTCTAACATTTACAGCCAAGAGTACAAATCAAGGCCCATATACTAATATGTCTAAATATTTAGAAGATATAAAACAAGCTTACGAACTAGGAAATAAAATATGCTCTTACCCTCCTATCCTGACAAATATGCCTTTATCTGCCTAGAAGAAAAAATTTTATACTGAAATTGTTGGATTCCTTAGAGTTCCATGCGGAAATCTGATTGCGTAGAAAAACTGACCACTGGCGCACTGCCCATGGCCCCCTTCTTCATCCCATGCTGCCAAGAACACACACACAAGCATGCGGTCACCTCCATTCATAAGCCCAAGCTCCAGTCCATACCCCATCCCTACAAACAGCCACCCATAGGCCATCCCTTGGGCTTAGGGTCTGTCTATAAACCAGCAGCTCAGTCTACCCTCAGAAAGATGGATCCCTGGAAGTGACTCACACAGGCTCTGAAAATAAGCTCTGGACCATTTGGGCACAAAATTGTGAGGTACCAGGTACTCACAGCATAGTCTAGCATGAAAGGGTTCAGGCTCCAAGTGGGTATGTCCCATAGGCCCCAGAGACCCCTTGTCCCACGAAAGAGAGCCAAAGCAGGGAGCTCTAAAGCATAGAACAAGGGCAGTAATCCTTCTCACAAAAAATAGTATTTCCTTATAATCAGGCGATATATTTCTTAACCTGGACAGTAGTAACATGGGTACTCACTTTACAATTATTTGTTAAATTGTACATAAAAGTTTTATGTACCTTCCCACAAACAATGGGACCAATACCATGTGCCTGATATGATAAACAATATCATGTTTTAGACGCTCTTGCCAAAAATCCATAACCTGAACCTGATCATTGGAACATAATGAGATGAAATCCATGGACTTTCTAAAAATCAGCAAAGCTCATTTCTTGAAAAATATGTCATAAAGGTAAAGAAGAACCACAGAACTACAGCATACTGAAAGAAACTAAACAGATGCCACACTAAACAGAGTCCATGATCCTGAACTGCATTCTGGGTGGGAGCAGGAATGCTATAAAGGACACTCCTGGGACCACTGATTAAATTTAAACATGAACAACTGACATTACATCAATGTTAAATTCCCTTAATCTCAATAACTGTACTAGAGTTATGTAACAAAATGTCTTTCTTCTTAGGAGATACATTCTGAAGAATTTAGGGGTGAAGCGTCGCAACTGTCTGAAATTTATTCTAAAGTAGTTCAGCAAAAACAGTATGTATATGTACGTAGAGTGAAGCAAATATGGCCAAAAGGTAACAATTGATAAATCTAAGGAAAAGGTATATGCACTTGACTATCCTTGTAACTTTTATCTTTTAAAATACTTTCAAAATTAAAAGGTTTTTTTTTAACTATGCTGAAGAGTTCCATAAGAAAGGAGTTGCCTGCAGGAGCAGGAGAGACACCAGATGACTGGGATAAGGGGATAAGAGACAACTTTTCATTTTGTTCATTCTTCCATCTTACTTGTACTTTTCCAATTTTGCTCATATTCCCCCCAAAATTTCATTTTAACTTTGGAAGGGAAGTCCTACAACATTGAAAGGGGAAACACTAGCAAATATAGACATAAGCCAAATGCTTTGTCATTAAATGTCTCCATCAAATCACAGCCATCATCAAACGGTTACTCTGTTTGATGATGTGATGATGATGTGATGTTTGATGAGACATCAACCCACAGAAGTGCTACTGCCCATGTACACACCATACACACCAGGTAACCCTACCCAATTTAATGGCTTGCACAGTAGGAAGAATAACTTGCCATGGATGTTCAATTCTACTTCCAGAACAACCATACACTGGTAACATGTTTCACAGCCTTTGTTAGATAATCCAGGAAACAGAGCACACACAGTTATCTCACTTTTTCTATTAAGAGAAATTCATTCACTTTAATAAACATTGGTGATGTTGTGCAAAGCCCTGAAGATGACATAGAAAGATGTGTATATCATGGTCACTCTTCAAGAAGGCAAGCAGCAAAGTGGAAGAGAACTTGAAGCACACAGTAGCTATACTGTAAGCTATATCTTGGTAAGTTATCTGGCCTCTCTGAGAGTCTGTTTTCTCACAAGTATAATGAAGATGCCACCCAACTACCTTTAAAGGCTGCATTGTAAGGACTGACTACATATGTCAATCAGGCATGTAGGACAAGACAAACTCAATAAAAGGTAGCTACTTTTATGAGCATTACAATCTAACTAAATAATGAAATAGTAAATATGGCCAAGATTATATAGCCAATTATGAGTATAACTACCACTGAAATCCTAATTACTCCAAGTATCTAATCCAAGTAAATGCACTCCCCTAAACACCAAATAATATATGCAGCTGTTAGTATGTGTGGACCAGCAGCCGCTCCCTAACGTAACTTTGGCAAATGCATCACTCTTGAGGTGCCAAGGAAAAAAAAACACTGGGTCATAGGTTGTGTTTCCTCAACAACCAAGAAGGATTTTAGGTCAAGAAATGATATACTCAGCCTGCACAAGATACTCTAACCTTATCTAGGACCCTGTCATCCAGGAATACGTGTCCGAATTAGTCCAAAAGCTAAAGCCAGAGGTGTTTCCTTCAAATAATTTCCAACCTTCTCTTACCAGCACATAAAATATATTAAATTACATTTCAAACATCTTCCAGTTTAGTAATGGAGATTTCCCTTGTTATTATATTATATCCCTTAATATGTATTTATATATATAATTTCTTATATTACTTTATAACCTAATTCTCAACCATCTCATTAGCAAGATGACAGTATTTCCTACTAAGTAGATGACTTCCAGGTATCTGTGAAAGGTACAAGCCAAAACCCAATTATGATAATGAATAAAGCTGTACTCCATACCCATTATGGCAATGACTCTTAAGTTGTTCACTGTGCATATGATGATGTGGGCACAAATAAAAGGGAAAGATACTTAAACATACTTAAAGGTACATAACAATTTAGAATATTCACATATTATCCCATGTGCATAGCTATCTCATATAATAAATATGCCATATCATAATTGAACATGCAAATACCTGAAAGAGTGCGACCGACTATCCTAGGATAGGCCACTTCAACATATACTTCAAATGTGGTCTCTGGGTTTTGCCTACAAAAGAAACAGATCATGATTACTGACAAGGATTGAGGCAGCATAGTTTATTGGATCTAAGATGCCATTAGAACATGTGAGCTGTGGTATAAAGCACACCCCGATTAAAACCATTAGCTCCACAACTTAATAGTTGTGGAACCCTGGACAAGTTAATGAACTTCTCTGAGCCATGCCTACCTAATCTATAAAATGAATACAACTAACCAAAAAATTATTGTGAAACTTAAAACACTCACACACAAACTGTCTGGGTACAATGTCTGGCCAGTAATTGGCCAGCCATTATTACGATTTTACAGGTGTCACATTTCCAATTAACACAGCTGGATCTCCAAAGCCTTAAGTAGAATTCTGAAGAAAGCAAGGCAACACTAACACAAAATAGCCTTCTCCCTCATATTCCAGGATAAAACATTCACATGATGAAGTTAACTTGCTCATTTACAGGCTTTAAGACTGAAATAAGAGAAACAGTGTCCTCATGACTAGGCTGTCATGAGACAGGATCCTAATCTAAATGTAAGACTGTTCCCACACAGGGGCTTCACCTGTACTGGCTATTGCAAGTATATGAATGTTCATTATTATATCCTTTTACCTTTTTACGTCATAAATATTTCATAATAAGTTTTTAAAAGATCACAGCACTAACAGAATGTTAACAGTTAATCCCAAGTGATAAGAACATCGGGGTAATATTATCATTGCATTTTCTCTTTCTCTTTGATTCTAAAACTACAATAAAAAGATATTATTTCCAGACTGAATGAAAATCATTCAGCAGAAGAAAATGTTATACTTTCAAATGTCTATAACTGAATTCTGTTTCAAACCTGACAACAAAGCTCAGAGAATAAACTCTGAGGTGCCTAGTCAAATATAAAATTTAATTTCAATGAAATAAATACTTTGAATTTACCCAGTAGATTCCACTTTTTAAAATAACTGCTCTTTATCTCATTTCATTCTTATTATAATGCTCTGAGGTAGGGGCAACGGGCATAATCACCACCATAAAGGTGAGGAACCTGAGGCAGAGTTCCTAAGTGACTTGACGCTGGTCCCACAGCCAGCTAGAAATGCAGCCAAGAACCAGAATTCACACCTCCTGGCACTCAAATTCTGTTCCACTGGTCCCAAGATGAACTTTTTTCCCCTACATTTTCACATTTCTTACAATCTATTGCATTTAAAATTCTACATGGCAGCTCTTTTTTCTTCCTTGATAATACATATAATAACAGTGCATCTTATAAATAATAGCACCTTAGATTCAATAAAATATAGTAATACTTCCTCTAGTCCCTTAGCAGTAGAAAGAAAAATGTGTGTTCTCTCAACCACAGATCTAGTTATTTCTCTTGTGAATGATCATTCCTTCACTGAATAGAAACTTGGGTTTTTGCTTTAAATAAGTACCTGCAGCTGAAAAGAGTTGGCTGCTCTAAAATTCAAGGTTCTTAAATATACCTTGTCAAATAGAAGTTAATTGTCAAAGTTAAATCCGATATAAATATCAGATACGCTGATTAGACACTAAATTAGAGTATCTTGCTTAAAAATAAATAAAATAAAACAAAGTAAATTGAAGTTTTCAAAGTCCTGAAAAAAATTTTTGTCCTCTTTTTTTTCCTGTCAGAGACACAAAAAGACCTACAAAGTCAACACCTTTTGGCCACCAAATATTTGTGGAAAACACCATATGGAAACATCTTTTTCCTTCAAATGACCTCAAAGAACAGTGTTTGATGAGAAAGGAATGCCCCACGGTCATCTAAAGAACACCAGGAAGATTCCTTCTAAAACTTAAATAAATCTTTCTTAAGTCTATTTTGCAGCTGGCTAAATTTCATCTCGGAATTTCATTCCTCTAGATTAAGATAATGGCTTTTAAGATGTCTACAGGACCCTAGGACTCCATGAAGTTTCTTCAGAGCTTTCACACATTTTATACCCAAATTTCCATTTTTATTTCTCCCCATTTATTTAAAATATTTTTTTAATTTATTTTTAGAGAAGAGAAGGGAGGGAGAAAGAGAGGGGGAAAAAAACACCAATGTGTCTTGAGCGCCCCTAACAGGGGACCTGGCCCACAACCTAGGCATGTGCCCTGAGTGGGAATTAAACTGGCAACCTTTGGTTTGCAGGCCGGACTCAATTCACTGAGCTACATCAGCCAGGGCTATTTCTCCCCGTTAAAACAAACAAAAAAACCCCGGAAATATAAACATGAGCACGGACAAGTGCTACATGCCAAATTTTTAAACCCTGGAGTTCCAACACACTAACCTATGCCACTAAGCTAAGGTAACTGTGCAGACCTGCTGTCAAAGAACACTATCTCTACTCACTGTCTCTGCTCCTCCTTTCTCTCTTTAACACACTTCGATCAGGCTTCTGAGCCCACCACCCCACTGAAACAACTGGTCATAATCACCAATGACCTTCACATGGCTAAAATGTGCTGAAATGGTCAATTCTTAGTGCTTGTCTCACTCAGCCCCTCAGCAGCATTTGATACAGTAAACTGACTTGCCCTCCTTCTTGAAACACATTCTTTACTTGCCTTCCAGAATATCGCTCTCTGTTAGTACTCTTCCTACATTATTGGCTGCTGCTCTGCTAATTCCTTCTCAAGGAAGCTTTCCTACCCTAGAACTTAGTCCTGAACCTCTCCCTACCTACATTCATTACTTAGATGATCTCATTCAGTCTCTTGGCTTTAATTACACAAATGCTGACAAGCCCCAAAGTCATGTCTCCAACCTGCCTTCTTCCCTGACTCCAAATGCCTACTCAGCCTCTCTACTCGGGTATCTACAAAGCATTTCTAATTTCACAAATAGTGCTTTTTGTCCTCAAATCTGCAACTCCTGAAATCCACTAGTTATTCAGACCAAAAAACTTGGTGTCATCCTTGACTCCCTTTGTTTTACATGCCATGGTCATTTCCATGCCACAATCAACCAATCAGCAAATTCTGTTGACTTGATCATCAAAACATGTCGAGAACCTCATTGCTGGTTAGCATCCCCAACCCTACCAGCTTTGACAGACCACCATCACCACACCTCTATCACTGCAGTACTCTCCTGACTGGTCTCCCTGCTTCCTCCTTTGCTCTGTAACAGTCAGACTTCAACTTCTTGGCCAGTAATCCTTTCATTCTAAAGGTTAGGCTATGTCAGTCTTCTGCTCAAAACCTCCCAAAGCTTCCCATGCCACTCAAAGTCAAAGTCTTAGTTCTGGAATAGATGGCAGTGATGGTTATACGACAGTATGAATGTATTTAACATCAGTGAACAGTACACCGAGAAGTGGTTAAGATGAAAAAGTGTATGTTATGTGTATTTTACAATTCTAAAAGAAACTGAGAAGGAAAAAAAAAGCAGTCCTTACAAGGTCCTACATGATCTGGTCTTTGCCTGTCTCTGCAATTGCACTTTACAGACTCTTTCCCCTTGCTCACTGCATTCCAGCCACACTGGCCTCTCTGCTCCTCAAACACACCAAACTCATTTGCATCTTACAGTCCTTTGCACTGACACTCATACAGGTGGCCCTTCCTGTCATCCAAAACTCAGTTTATATTTGACCTCCTCAGAAAGGCCTTCCTCAACAAACTCTCTACCATCTAACTTTAACTCTCCAAACCTATCACAATCATTTTTGTTGTCATCACCCTCCTCTACAGGAATACTGCAGAAGAGCAGGGACTCTGTCTATTACACCCATTAGCGTTTCCTTAACAGTGCCTGGCACATAGCCAGAATCAAGTAAAATAAAGAAAACATAAACCAGCCTTCCTGGGGTCTAATATTTCAATAAATGATAGAAGTACACACTTCTGTGATTCTCAAGTTTTAACAAGTTAAAGGACAGATTTCCAGACCCACTTCCAGAGTTTCTGGGGTTGAACCCAAGAATTAGCATGTCTAACAAGGACCCAGGTAATACTTATGCTGCTGGACTAGTAATCACACTTTCAGAACCACTGACCTAGTTAAATGAAATTCTTCTTCCAAATAACTTAGTGCATACAACATAAAATAAACATAGGTTATACCTTGATAATCAATCATTGTAACAGTTTCTTACTCAGTTCAAATAGCTGCCAGAGCTCTATTACATGGAGCCAAAGATTATGATAGTCTCTTTTAAAAGGAAAAAAGAAACGGGAAAAGCTGACCAAAAACACTAAGAACAAATCAGGCTATAATTATAACTTACGGTCATGCTCATCCATGATTGTTTACATGTTGCCTTATGGAAGAAGTAGTGACTAATGTTGTGACAAGTTACATAACATACCAACAAATACACAAAAGTTATTTTAAGGGCCAGTGAAGCCAATGCAGATGGAAGCATTTTCTATTTCTCCGCAAATCAAAATATAAATTTAAAAGCATGTCCTCTAAATGCAAATGGCCGAGCAGCTCCTACTTAATATTTTCATTAAGTTCTGTAAACAATTAAGGCTATAACCATTTCCAGAGAATCTCTGGGACTACCCTGAGACTGCTAACATCTTCCATTACTCTTAAGATGCTCAATATTTTTAACTACTTGACTAAAGGAAATGAAATCCTTTTTCTGTCCTATTAACACTCACTGCTATTTCAGTACATGTAATGATGCTGAGAGTACCATATTCAGAGCCAATTTTCCAATATGGACCCAAGTTTTCCCAGAACACTTGATGCTATATCCTAACATATTACCATGGAAATGTCCTGGTTCTGCCATAATATCCCATTATTAATTGCCTTACACTTCTATACTTCCACAATGTGGAACCCTGCCCACCTGCTAAGCATCTTTTGTTTGCCACCCACACTCACCTCCTGCAGTTCTGCACCCTAAGATCCAGCCAGAACTAGCTGTAGCCCTCTGAACACACCATGCTCTCCAATAAGAACATCATTACCATATTATGACTACTAGTTACCGTTTCCTATGTGCAAGGCATGATCCTAAGCACTTTAAATGCATTA